TGCATTGCATGTGTTCCATCGGACGTTATATTGAACACAAGGTAGATTGGTCCATTTCATACTCAAAGTGATGAAATAAGCCAATCTCCTTTGTCTCCATCACCTTTGATCATGCATGATAGGGTGGTGGCCTCTTGAGTCTTGTTTTGTGCATTTATTGAACGTGTACAACTTGGATCTTTGGCCATCATGCATTGAAAATGCTTGATTGGTGGTTTTGAATCCAAGAGTGCCACTCCTTTGATGTTTTAAGATGATAAGGAGGGGCACAGTACAAACATGTCCTTGGAAAACCCTCATTTTTCCTCTGTTTGTGCTCTGTTACAGTGTGGTGACTTAGCACACCAGTGGCCAGCAGTGGCTCACTGATGGCCGACAGTGGCTTCATCCTTGGCCGGCATAGTGCACTTTTGGCCAGCAGATGGCTGGCAGCAAGCACTCATGGCCGGCAGGCCACTGGTGCATTCCTCAGCAGTGAATTGGTAAGGTGGAGCAAAGAGTTATTGGAGTAACCCTGCAAACAGAGCCTCTCAAGAGCAAACCGGTGGGCTTTTCGGGGCAAAAACCGAATGCATGCATCGTCCGCTTCCTAAGGCAGAGCTGAAGCAGTGTAGTTTTAACATTTGTTTTGCATGTTGAGGTAGCATGAATTTGTAATTTAATTAATTAGTTTGCTAATTAGTTGAGTGTTGTAATAATTAGTAGTTTGCTAGTTATTCATTTGTTGTATAATAATTAGCCTAATTAGTTTAATTAGATTAGTTAGATTAGCTTAGCTTTGTGTAACTTAGCTTATTTATTCGGACCCTCCTTCGAGAGGGCGCAATGTTGTAATAAGTGTGCGTGCGTCTGTGCATGTCTTCCAACACCATTTCTTTCTCCCTTTTATTTAATCACTTTCGATGGTTAGATTAGGGCATATTTTGATCAGCATACCTTATGCTCACATGCGTGCATCATTCATTTGTCTTGCATGCACCGAGGCTCGGTACATCATTCAAACTGCATTGTATTTCAATACATATTTAAATACGTGTTTCAAAGCATGTTATCAAAGTGTTTCATATGCCATCTTAGATAGCCAAGCCTATTAGTTACATTTTTGCATGTGTTGCATTAGGCATCTAGCATAGTTAGGATCATACATATTTCTAACTAGCTTTTGTTTTGGCTCGGAGTACGCTGTAAGCTTTATGCTTAAAATATTCTAATTCTTGCAATTTAGTCTATACTTGTATGCGTCATATAGTAAAGTTAGCTAACAACTGGAATAAGAACATATGGCTTTATAAAACAACATATCATGATAGTAGAGGCCGATCCTTTGATCGGGCAAGTAGGGGTGCTCATTTTAGGACCTTCCCCTCTCATACCCAAGTTCTCGAGCTGAGGCAACTTTGGTGATGACGGATACATGGCATTTGGCACGAGTCAGGGTTTCCTAAATTTCTCAAAAATAAAATATTTAGGTGGCGACTCTGTAATTTGACAAAGTAGTCCAGTTTTGGTATTATTTGATTCAAAATCTGATTTTTCAAAATGATTTGCCGGATTGGACTCTTTGGTATTTATCAGTCTCACATTACACTTTGTGAGATTAGATTCAGAACCGTGACAGGAGTCCGAACTGTAGGACCAATTCAAGCCTCTCCGAAAGGCGGGGCGCGAAGAAAGTCAAGTCTACACTCGCCAGCTTTGAAGTTCCTTGCCGAGGTGATTTTGCTTGCCAAGAAGCAAGTTGTCAAGCTAACTTTGCTCGTCAACTTTGGAGTTCTTTGTCGAGCTGATTTTGCTCGCCAAGAAGTAAATTGTCGAGCTGACTTTGCTTGCCAACATTAAAATTCCTTGTCGAGCTGATCTTGCTCGCCAACTTTGGAGTTCCTTATCGAGCTAATTTTCCTCGCCAAGAAGCAAGTTGTCGAGCTGACGTTGCTCGCTTACTTTGAAGTTCCTTGTCGAGCTAAGTTTGCTCGCCAAGAAACAAGTTGTCGAGCTGATTTTGCTCGCCAACTTTGAAGTTTCTTGTCGAGATGATTTTGTTCGCCAAGAAGCAAGTTGCCGAGTTGACTTTCCTTACCAACTTTGAAAGTCCTTGCCAAACTGATTTTGCTCGCCAAGGAAGTTGCTGAGTTGATTATACTCTCCAAGAAATAAGTTGTCGAGCTAACTTTGCTTTCCAACTTTGAAGTTCCTAAACCAAGCTAAAGTTGAGTAATCTCATTCATGTTACAACATAAGGGATTTAAGGCTAACGACCAAGCAAAGCGAACCACCGAACAAAGAGTCTAGCCCGACCTAGTAATGTAATTCTGGTCACGCGAATGTGGACGAAATTAAGGGGAAATTGAGAGGGGAGTTTGCGCCAAGCAAATGGGCCAAGCTAGTTGTGACTTGGGCCTTGCTGTTAGATTATGCGACTGAGTTGGCATAGCCGACAGCAGTTTGGCCGAGGTTCTAGATCATGTGGCTGAGTTAGCCCAAGATTCGGAAGTTGGATTAGGCTAAGCCGAGCTAGGTGAAGCGATGGTCCAAGGCCGGGCAAGGTCAACGGGAATGAACGGAGTTAGGCAAACTGAGCTAGTTATTAAGCTTGACCCTGAAGGTCGATTAGAATTGAGGCTGGAACTGACCGGGCTATGCCTAGCTCGGTGGAAATTTCCAGGTGGTCCAATTGGAGTACGAGAAGAGAAACCCGCCAATGGTGTGTGTCAATATCGCTTGGCAGTTTGGCCAATGTTGTTTGGCGGTATTGACAGGTACACATGTAAAAAATAAAGAGGGCAGTACAGCCACGCATCCAGGAAAGGACGAGCAGTGTAGCACGCCAGAGGCTATATAGATTGAGCGATGCCTCCATACAACATATCTGAATTTCTAGCTACCCAGAGCTCTATCTCTCTTTTGTCTTCTCTCTCTTTCTTTCTCTACAAGGGTGCTAACTTGACCGTCGGAGGGGTTTTTCAGCAGCACACCCACCGGATAGTTCACCGTCATTATGTTCTCAAGTTATTTGAAGCGAAGCGAAGCTTAGCTTGGACACGAGGAGTACGGACAGCGACGAGTATTTGTTTCCTATACAACAATGATATCAATCATGTGCAGCGATAATTAAGTAGCTTATTATCTTGCCAGGTTGGTTCTTAGTAGGGATTTTTGTTTTTTTAAGACAAGATTTGTGTTTTTGAGATATCTCCTCCATGCTATAGAGTCTATTATCTTGGGTTATCCCTTCTCTTACTTCAAGATTTGCGTCTATATGGTGGATAGGGTGTTTTCTGGTATTCTTCATTTTTTGTGTGCGAGCTTTCGTAGAGAGAACTAAGAACCCACTTCGGTTATCCAGATTTGCTATGAAATTTTTCCTTTCCTTTCCTTTCCTTTCCAGATTCTTGTTTATGTATGCAAGATCTTGTGGTGGTTCTTGTTAATGGGTAAATTCTGTGTTTTTTTGGAAATCTTTGATTTGCCATTAAGAGTGATATCAAACAGCCTTGAGTTTGTGGGCTCCTATGAGATGTTTATATATGTTTGAGATGGTATTTTTGTTCTAGCACAACCAAAGTTTCGGCCAATTGATTTTCATGTGTGCCTGCCGTTGCTACTGCTGAATTGCTGAGGAACTGTTGCAATATTGTTGCTGTTAATTTGTTTTTTTGTTTAAAACCCATGGGTGGTTTTGTTTAAAACCATGGTTTGGGTTTGGTGCAAACTATAGGCTGATTTGGCCCAAATCATGGGTTTGTTTGAAAGTCTTGGCTGGTTTTCTTGTCCGAATAGTGTTGATTGGACTGAACTTTATGTAAAATTTATTTATTTAATATGTCATATTATTTTAGCCTAACTTTGAACTTATTTAAATCTATTTGGTAGATTATATTGTGAATTATTAGTTAAAAATGTTTTCCTTTTTGAGGGTGTGTTACTTTTTAAACATGTAATGAACTTCATTGTAACTCACATTGATTCTAGGCAATGCTTGTAATTTTTCTCTAGCTTTTTCTTGTACTTTGATAGCATGTCTAGTGCTAATAAAGACACATTAAGATTGTATAAAATGACGTCAATGATTGTGATATTAAGATTGTATAAAATTTAATGTATGAGATAGAAAGATTTAACCGGAAAGGTGTGAGCTTTTGACCTACACTGCCCCCATGTGATGGTTGCTTTATTTATGAAGTAACAAAAAAAATCACATAATGTATGAGGTAGAAAGATTTAACCTGAAAGGTTAGTTTTTGCCCTACACTACGCATGTGAAGGTTGCTTTATTTATAAAGTAATAAATAGAGTTATGTTAGGAATTTTAAATACTATATTAAATTTTTTATGTAGGTGTGAGATTCATACACATCTGAGTTTATGAGTCTCACACTTATATGAAAATTTTAATAAAAAATTTAATAAATTATTTGAGATTCATAATATTTTTGTAATAAAAAAGTCATTTCTAGTCAACTTGGATCATCTGCAACAGTAAGGTCTCGTTTGGGAACAAGTTAATTTAGTAACTTTTTGGCTATTTGGCTAAGTATGAGCTAAAAAAAATTAGTATGTTTGAGATGACTTTTTAGCTTTTTACGAAAAGATGTATAAAAAGTAGAGAGAAAAGAGAATCTGACTTTTTGGTATGGATTGTTGGCTTTTTGATTTTTTTAATAATTTTTTGACTTTTTAGCTAAATTGGCCTGTTGCCAAACGAGGCCTAAGACATGTTAGTGATTGACATAATTTAATGTTCTAAATGTAAAATCAGGGTAAAATAATATTATTTTTTAAAAGAAGTTTTAAAAAATTCGGAATTTGTATTAAGATAGAGGCTATCTTTTCTCATAAACCCAAAACTAAGGCAAAAAACTAGGAAATTTAGTAAAAAGAAATAGTCAATGTGAAGCCTATAGATTCGTGATTTAAAAGTGTGTAACTCTTTAGGCCATTGAAGACTATAACTTCAGTAAGAAGAGCTTCAAAGCAATCAATCCAAAACCAACTAGAGAGAGAGAACCCAAAAGTGCAAAAATGGCTCAACCCAAAGACTCAAAGTTTCACATAGCCATGTTTCCATGGTTTGCCTTTGGCCACATGACTCCATTCCTCCACCTCTCCAACGAGCTTGCCAAAAGAGGCCACAAAATCTCATTTTTGCTGCCAAACAAGGCCTGTCTTCAATGGAAAACAACCAATCTCCACCCTAATCTCATCACCTTCTATCCCCTCACCATCCCACGCGTTGGAAGCCTCCCTCGAGGCACCGAGACAGCCTCCGACATACCCATTTTCTTAACCACCCACCTCGCCACCGCTATGGACCTCACTCGCGATCAAGTCGAAGCTTTGTTATGTCAATTGAAACCCAATTTTGTTTTCTATGACACTGCTCATTGGATACCTGAATTAGCACCAATGATCGGGTTTAAAACTGTATGTTACAATGCAGTTTGTGCAGCTTCACTAGCCATAGCGGTAGTCCCTTCGCGTAAAGTTTTCAAGGACAGGCCGCTAACGGAGGAAGAACTAGCGGAGCCACCGCATGGCTACCCTTCGACCACTGTGGTGTTACGCAAACATGAAGCTCGGGCTCTTTCGTTCATATCATTCGATTTTGGTAGTGGGATAACGTTCTATGACCGTGTCACGACTTCCATGAAAGAATGCAATGCAATCTCTATCAGAACGTGTCATGAAATAGAGGGACAGTTGTGTGACTACATTGGAAGCCAATTTGGAAAGCCTGTGTTGCTAACGGGGCCGGTTTTGCTTGAGTCGGAAAAAACACCTCTTGAAGACCGGTGGGCGAAGTGGCTAGGGGGCTTTGAGCCCAACTTGGTTGTGTTCTGTGCTTTCGGAAGCCAGTGGGTTCTTGAAAAGGACCAGTTTCAAGAACTTGTTCTAGGGTTAGAGTTAACAGGCTTACCATTTTTGGTAGCCGTAAAACCACCAACTGGGGCAGCAACGGTGGAAGAAGCGTTGCCAGAGGGGTTCCAAGAGAGGGTTAAAGGGAGAGGAGTGGTTTACGGGGGATGGGTACAACAGACACATTTATTAAACCACCCATCAGTTGGGTGTTTTGTGAATCACTGTGGATTTGGATCGATGTGGGAGTCTTTGACAAGCAATAGTCAGATAGTGCTTGTACCACATTTAGGAGACCAAATCTTGAACACTAGGTTGATGGCTGATGAACTAAAAGTTGCAGTGGAGGTGGAGAGAGATGAAAATGGGTGGTTTTCAAAAGAGAGCTTGTGCAAGGCTGTTAAGTCTACCATGGATAAAGATAGTGAGGTGGGTGTTTTGGTTAGGAAAAACCATGGCAAGTGGAAACAAACCCTAACTAGCCCAGGTTTCATGAGTGGGTACATAGATGAGTTCATACACAAGTTGCATGAGCTTTAGGTGTGATGCAAGTGACTCAACAAATCACTTTTTTTTACATCATTGTACTTTTATTTTCAATATTGATATACTTTCATAAGTTTTTTTATTTTATTTTATTTTTTAAGGATCGTTCATAAGTCCAAACGACCAACCCAGAATGACTTGCTTACATGGGGCCGATTTCAAACATTTGGTCGGTCGGAAGCAGGTTCGAGGATACCAGACGACCGCCCCCCCGCACCACCCCCCCGCGGGGGGGGCAGAGCTAACTCTCCTGAGTCTTTTCATTTCAATTTTATATTTTTTGTCAAATAAGTACTGTGAGAAACGATAAAATTTTAATTCACCCTTTTAATCAATAATTCATTATTTATATAGATAAAAAATAAATAATATTGTTTCTTAAATTAAAACATATATTTTGTTTTGTTTATCTTTGTGTTTTTATACTCTGTGTTACTTTTGATTTATTTAGTCTTACTAAAGTGAAATTCTGTATAATTATATTAAAATTATAGAACTCATTATATTTTCACTAAGTCTTAGGAAATTACATGGGGCCGATTTCAAACATTTGGTCGGTCGGAAGCAGGTTCGAGGATACCAGACGACCGCCCCCCCGCACCACCCCCCCGCGGGGGGGGCAGAGCTAACTCTCCTGAGTCTTTTCATTTCAATTTTATATTTTTTGTCAAATAAGTACTGTGAGAAAGGATAAAATTTTAATTCACCCTTTTAATCAATAATTCATTATTTATATAGATAAAAAATAAATAATATTGTTTCTCAAATTAAAACATATATTTTGTTTTGTTTATCTTTGTGTTTTTATACTCTGTGTGTTACTTTTGATTTATTTAGTCTTACTAAAATGAAATTCTGTATAATTATATTAAAATTATAAAACTCATTGTATTTTCACAAGTCTTAGGAAAGATGAAATAAATTTATAAATGGATGTGATAATTTATTTAGAAAACATGAAATAAATTTATAAATAAAGCTTTCAAACAAATCATATTTTTCACAAATAGAAAATGTGCAAGCTAACTAAAAAAATTTACAAACTTTCTTCACAAATGGATGTGATAGTTGAGTTGCATTGTTACAACGGCCACATCATGGGATTTTCCAAAATAAACAATCAATAGCAAGACATAAATTGGTAAAATAAGTTTATAAATTCTCTGTTTATATAGTTCTACTCTTCACAAACTAGATCATGTAATTACAACAAAAAATTAGATCATGTAATTAAAAGTGATAGGATAGCAGCGGCACCTTTTTTTTGCAGGATAGGGTATCCCAATGCTCTAGATAGAAGCCAAACCCATACTCCAAAAGCCGGCACTGAATGAAACTCGCTTATCACTCCCATTGCAATAATTCCTGTGGCTTAACATTCAAAAAAACAGACAAAAGCAATATTAAATCACTAAGAACCCCTTCTTTACATTCACATAGAATTCTGCAATCTTCAGTATGTACCATAAGCCACTAGAAAACAATATTTGTGAAAATCACAATTCATTCTTCATTGAAGTACCACCAGAACCTCTCTGAAGTTTTACAAATAAAACTCGTGCCACTTTGCCTACTTTATATGCACAACACATTAACAAGAAAGCTACATATCCGATTCTTGAAGAGAGAAAAGAGGAAGAATCGGACAGGATTACGGGCGTAAAATAGTACTCCATTCCAGTGAAGGCACCTATTTGCCGAACTGCAAACAAAAGAAGATATACTTAATCCAGAGGCAATGGTGGAGACCCTCATAATTATGATTTTCTTGTCAAAAATGTCTCTGGAGTTACTATTCCTCATCAACCGGAATCCTCTTCATCAAGCTCAGTGAAATCTTCTACCATATCGGGCCTAACAGAATGTTTGGTCGATGAGCGCATTTCTTCAATTTCAACAAGTAACAATGGATCACAAGCCACTCTTGCTGCCTGAAGTATTCTTGGGCAACCTGAAAGAAGATAATATGGTCAACCCTGTGGGAAACAAGCAGCTGTAAGAAATATAAAGTAGGGAAAATAATTACAAAAATATGAAGGTGCAAGTAGGTTTGTACTCTGATGCATGTAAAAATTGTGGCCTTGCACCAGAGTGCAGATCGTACTTGTACCTCCATATTTTTGCAATTACTTTCTTTAATTCCCACTTATTTGCAATTCCTCCAAAAAATTACTCCAAATACCTGCTACAGGACATTGTATATTCTTCGACCTTATGTACTGCATAATGACATTCTTTTCATATATATGCTTGCAGTCCACACTACAAAAATGCAGTAAAATTTTAATTTAGTATAAAACAAACTCATGTTGCAACTCATGTTTAAACAAACAAAAAAAAAACTGCTAAATCAATAGCAAAAAAAGGATATACAATTTATCCAAGTAAACACTCCAAAAAGGCTCAAGGTAATTTCAATCCTCAAAATTGCAATTTAAGAAACTAGAAATGAAACATATGTATTTTTAATCCCTTTTTGGTTCTTTGTCTATATATGCATATGTATGAACATCAGTGTGGGCAAAACATATATCAGCTACACATTATATAGAAAGAAAATGCAAATCTCCTCTCTCAAAGATTAGGACGTGGAAAATATTATAAAGATCTATTTTTTACCTGCGAACTGGTTCTTCCAGTTCAGTGATAGGCTTTCCAGTCAATGGACATTTAATATTCAGAAGGTTGAATTGTGTACTGGTCATTACAAGATCCTCCTGCTCTTCACCAGGCATTGGCTGGCCTGCATGATGAACATTCTACAAGAAAACAGTAAAAACTACATCAAATTAGGATGGAAATTTTGAGAAGTTAACCTGGACAACCAAGAATGGGCATAATGGTAAACAATACAAGGGAAGGACACATGAACATAGAATCCCTACAGTAGCTCTCTTGTACATATAACGATAGTATAGTAGCAGTAACTATCCATCGAGCACCTCTTGCATTTATAGAACATTATAGCAGCAATTATATATAAAAACAGCTGAAAAATGAAGTTAGAAACAAAGTTTGAATTTATTTTCATAGACATTGAAAATGTGGTCTTCTTATCCTGGTCAATGGTCAATTAGATAAAAGAACTTCACTAGCAATCTCATCACGTTGCAAACCTCTTCACATATTTCAAAATATGCTTTTGTAAAAAACATGGACTCTAACTTCAAGTTATGATCTAATCCAACTATCATGAGCATGCTTGATTTATTCCATATTTCATATTTGAAGAGTGTCTGAAAGCCAGAATTGTGTTTGTAAAGCCTGAGAGCCCATAATTCATACCCCTGTTCTCAATCACCATGTGGAATTTATCCAGCTTTGCAAGATCATCCAGAAAGGGGTTGGTGCAGGTGCAGCAACTAACAAGACTACTAGAAGAGAACCATATGACCAACCAATAAATTTTAGCCCTTTTTAGTGACTCAAAAGGGTTCGATAAATTAACACCCTCAACTAAATGTTATTCCAACCTCACTGCTTCTTTATATGCTGCCAGTAAACTTATGCCAAGCCCACATTGCTATAAATCTTAACAGAGCCTCCCAATCTTTGGATGGTCACTGAGTAGAAGAAAATTCTATTGCATGAAAAAAAAAAAAATGAGGAACTTGGATAAGAATTTCCCAAGCTTTAAAAATAGCTAGGAATTGGTACATCTTCGACCTCTATTGCACCAATGAATGGATTTAAAATAAGAAGTGTAACTGGGCAACCTGCCTGTCATAGTGAAGATATCTTAAAGCAGCCAGGCATAAACTGCAGCAATACTCTTTTCTTTATTTTTTTGGTAGCCTAGGTATATCAATTATATGACTAGCTGCCATAGACATAGTGTATTTTTTTGGTATTAAAGACAAAAAAAATGTTTGTGTGGGGGGCAAGAAGGCATCAATTATCTCCTTGTTTTATTTTTTGATCAACCTCAAACATTTTGAAAAAAAGATTCGAAATAAAATGCAAACATTATTTATTCAAATGTAACACATTGGTGCCTTTTGGAACCAAGTAGGAAAAGGCCCTCCAAAGCACGGGAGAAAATATGGAAAGAACTACAGACATTCTACACATAAGGCTTATCTTTATCGTTAGCCAAAATTCAAGCAAGCTTTTTCTTAATCTGGTAAGGGAACATACCCAAATTGCTTCCCTAAACTGGCGTAACAGTGGATGATTTGGGGGAATTGAAGATGAATTAGCCTTGGACTTTGTAATCTCATCATCAAACAACTTCTTAAAATCTGTTAACTGCATTTTAATTGTCAAAGTAAGAAATAAGTTAAGCAAATTAAACAAATTATACTCCACAAATATGGGAACACAAATTCAATATGCATAAGAAAAAATTGTTGATGGAAAAATAGAACTTAAACAAACACCTCTTCCCCAGGCTGGTAAACATGTCCAACAGATTGAAGTGCTGAGGAAAAATTTGCACAATCTTCAGAAGCTACCAACAATTGAAGAAGACCATCTTCGAGCTCTTTTACCTGCAATTAGCATTCAACATCGGTTTGTACAAATTACCAAAAGATTGAGGTCACTCATCATCTTCGAAAGTAGATTTTATAGTCAAAAAAATAATTGGATCTTATATTTTATAAATATTGGACTCTTATTATTTTTACTCTCCTGATATGATAAGATTCTTCATCATCTTCAACAATGCTGAATACTTGCATTTACCAGCACCTTCAGACTCGATCTATCAGTTGAACAAAAATTTTATCTAAATCTCCAGAAGTTAAGAGTCATACATTAAAACTGGCATTTAACAGCTAAATTTTCAAAATTATGAAAAAATTGGGTTTGGGTTTATAAGCATCTTCAACTAGGCCATATCAAATTTTCTATAAAAATTAATTAATTACTTAATTAAATTTTATCATTTAAAAATCGCAGTTCCTTAACCTGATCACAATCTATGAATTGAGACTGAAATTATACAAAATACGGTAGCAGGAACTGGAATACACACACATGTGTACTAATTTGTCTAAAAAATTAAAGTTCTTTTTCAAACCAAAAAAAAAAACTTATTGAACCCATAAAAAATACTTATTCAAACAAAGTTCTTTCAACAGAGTATCTCTGTTGAAAGACACTATGGAAATTGTTGAAAACTCCAAAAACTAGGGTTAATGACCTTCTCAAAATTTTGTCTAAAATTACCCAAGAAGTACTTATTGGCAAGTTCAAGTATGGGTTTAGTAGCTAAATCTATTTAAAGGACAACAAAACAAATGGACTTCATAAACATCTTCGATCTATAGTATATCAGTCTAAAAACAATGAACCAATCAAAAGAATTTCAAAAATCTAAAACTTAAAAAATAGGGTTCACGAGTAACAAATACCATCTGAGACTCGGTATCTCTCTCCAAATCAACAGCGACTTCCTTCATCGTGATCATAACTTTTCGAATTTCCTGAAACAAAGAGAAACCCAAAATTCAATCATTACAGGATCGAACAGGGGGTTAAATCTTTGACGAAGAGTGAAGTTACAGCGATGAGGTATTGATTGTCGGAGAAGAGAGTTGTGGCGGTGGAGCTGATTCTTCCGACACCCCCATGGGGTCGAGAACCAGAGGTCGATGCCATTGGCGTTTGCAACAAGCTAACTCGCTCGGAGAAGATGGGTGTGTAGGGTTTGATTCGTTAAGTATGGAGGGAAATGTTGGATATGTATATATATAGCTGGAGGGGAGAGGGAAAATCAAATCATATCAATTTATTACACATTTTGGGATGTATTCAGTCCTTTATTTTTTGGTAGGTCAAGTTTGACTATCTTAAATAAGTATATATTTTTATTTTTTTATCTTTTTTTTATTATATTATTTTTTTATTTTTTTGCATATTTTTCTGTAAAAAGATAAAAAGTACACTTATTTAGGTCATCTCAAACAATCCCTTAGTTCAATTTTTTGACAATCAAATATTTTTTTCTCGCACTTTTTAATTGGGATTTTTAGTGAAAAATCTCATTTAAACATGTTTTAATCTAGTAACTCTATAAATAAAAATTATAACCTAATTAGGCTTATATGTTTGTACTTTTATTCTATGTAATCTTTTTTTTCCTAATTTTATATTTTTTTGAGGGACTATTACACCTTTATATATTATGTTGATACATAATATACACAAAAAAGGTAATACATGTTTTGTTTGTCAGCGTTATTCACGTTGATGATTCTGATTTAATTAATTAATGTCGATCGTTGATGGTAGGGTTTCATTGTGGCAGGGTTCCAGTGCAGTGGAGAGAAGATGACGACGGGTTTCTGTGTCGTAAGAGAAAAGACGAATACGACGGGTTTCTGTCCATAGGTGTGTTCGTTTTCGTAGTTTGATGTTTGTGTGTGCCTTGGTTTGTTACGTAATTGTTGGAGATCAGTCGTTGATCAAAGGTGGAGGAAGATTACATAATTTCTTTCTCAAAATTAGTATCATTTTGTTTATGAATACATGTTCATTTTTGTGAAGGATTGCATGCTCTGTTTTTTTATTCATGTGCATTTTCTAGAATACATGGGTAATGCAAGTGTATGTTTGATGAATGAGGTTCTGATTTTTTACTAGTAATGCATGTATATTTTGTTGTTTGAGTTTCGGATATTTGACAAAGATGCATATACAGTTGTTTGAACAAATTGATTGTGGTGGATCGTTGGTGAAATGTTGTTTTTGGTTGATTGGTTTATTTTTTCTTGTTGTTTTGTAATTGTTTTTATACCCTTTTTGTTGTATTTAGTGTATCATCTCTGTTTGGTTAGATAATTTAAATGATGTGAACAATGTAAATGTTCACATATCATTGGTTATAATGTGATTGTTCACTTCCTTTTTTTTGTATTTTTGCAGTAGATAGATACCTTTATGTTGTTAGTGTACTCATATGGGTGTAGTACTACTATAATAAATGTGGTGCGAAAGCTGTCTTATTCGCATTTCGTGGAGTGTGTGTATGTGAAAAATGGAGCGAGTTGTTTATTGATGGTGTTTCATTGTTCTATCAGTGGATAATGATGACGAACTTCAAAGTATGTTCTTGCTTGCCAAATCAATGGAGGTTCAACATGTAGATGTTGGTGTTGAATTGAAAAGTGAAGTTGGTCAATCTAGTAGCTCTAGGTCGCTGTGTGTGGGAAGATGAGGATGTGAGTGATGTTTTTTTATTTTTAGAGAGATTGATATTTATTAAATTTCTAGTTTTGTTGCTGCAATTGTTTTTGATTTTTTGTTAACCTCATCACATCATTAATTAGTGTTAATATTCACATTATTTATAATGGAAATTTGTCATTTGTTTTATCAATTAGTGTGAATATTCACACATCCATATAATATTGAATAGTGTATATATTTTCACTGTGTTCATTATCACTATGCAAAATGTTAAAGTTCACATCAGACCGTTGTGTTCAATCATATAATCACAAGCCACAATGTTTATTTGGATGCAAAAATGATGTGAATATTCACTTCCTTGTTTTGTTTCATCTCTGTTTGGTTAGATAATTCATAGACGTGAACAATGTAAATGTTCACATATCATTGGCTATAATGTGGTTATTCACTTCCTTGTTTTTGTATTTTTGCGGCAAATGGATCCATTCATGTTGTTGGTGTGCTCATATGGGTGTAGTACTACTGTAATAAATGTGGTGCGAGCATTATCTTATTCACATTCCGTGGAGTGTGTGTGAAAAATGGAGTGAGTTATCTGATTGTGTTTCATTGTTCTATCAGCTACTTGGGATTAATAGGTGTAATTTGGACAGTGATGATGAGCTTCAAAGTATGTTCTTACTTGCCAAATCAATAGGGGTTCAACATGCATAGGTTGTTGTTGGATTAGTGTAATGTTGGAATTACATGGGTAGTGATAATGATCAAGATGATGAAGATGAGAATGTCAGTGATGTTTTTTTTTGTTTTTTGAGAGTTTGAGATTTTATGGGTTTTTGTTTCTGGATTTCTGGTTTTTTGTACTAGAATTTTTTCATATGAATTGTCAATTGATATTAATATTTGTGATTTCATATAACATTGAATGGTGTATATGTGTTTGTTGTGTTCATAACCATTATGCAATATTGATGATGTGAATATTCAAGAACCATTTTGTTTATTTAGACACAAACATGATGTGAATATTCAGAGTGCAATAAATAAATGTGAAGATTCACATTAATTCTGATATGTTTGTTCGTGAGTCGTACACCTAATTAATGTATAATGTAACTATTAACATCTGTAGTCAACCATAGTATGATGTGACTATTCACAATGCAATAAATAGATGTGAAGATTCACGTTAATTCTAATATGATCATATACATAATTAATGTATAATGTGAATATTAACATATGTAGTCAACCACAATAAATATAGGACATAATTTGAACATTCACATTTATTGAATATAAATTAAGATGTGAACATTCACACAAACTTCAACATAAGAAAGCAGATGTGAATGTTCACAGATTATATTGTTTAGCACACGCAACACATCAACACCAAATATACCATCAAAACGCATAGGTGTGTGAGAAGTATATAATTGATTTATATATATGGTGTCAAGTGTTTTCAACTACAAGTTATCAAAGTTACAAAAAAAACCAAAATTAAAAAAAATAATTAAAAAAAAATCTAGCATTGTATTCTAGTATAGCTAGTGTTTGATGGACAAACCCAATCATCGAACAACGGGGTTTGCCTCTAGTAGTCCAGCTGAAGATCCAAAAACTTGGTGCTTCTCATCAGTTTTACTAGGTCTATAATGTTTGATCGATAATTGACATGCCGCATGTCGATGTGGGTGTTGCTCTCTAGAGGCATGCTCTCTTATTTGACATGATACTTCTTCATCTTCCTCTTTGTGCAAAATTTAGATGCAACATCTATTATATGGGCATGCACAAATAGTGAGTGTTTATATGAACATTAAATTTGATTTTAATAGAATTGGTGGAGTAGACATGCACATTGACATCAACACATCATTAGTCAGTATAGATGTTCACATTCAATGATTTTCATATAATCAAAAGCAACAAAGTGCTATTTAGGTGAAAAACATAGTAATGTGAACATTCACATCAGATGTGAATATTCACATTACTGCTAGGGTACAAATAGTAGTGGTTACACCGAATGTTAATATTTATACATCCATATAATATTATGTATGTCTGTGTGTATAGAAGGAAATGTTAAAATTCACATCAACATTTGGTTACAACAATTCAAGGTAAGACAATGATTATATGTATACATTTATAAACAAATAGCACCAATGTGAATATTTTTGTGGTGAAGTGGTTTGGAAATACTCTAAGATCCTGTAGGATGTCCCAGATCTTCTGATTGCCACCTGAAAAAGGGATTAACACTCTGATCAGGGGTACCGAAATCAGCACTCCGACGGACAAGTTAGTATATTCTCGTTTGCTTGCGGCTTAAGTTTCTTTAATCTGTTTACACATACCTTTCTTTGGTTGATGCTCCTCTTATTTATACTCATCCATGATCTCGGGGGTCGGGCCCACGTTTAATCTAGCGCATAACTGCTCACTCGGCCATTCAGTCGTGTGCCCATTCTCACTCGGCGTCTTGTACAGCTGATTTTATGGTTGATTTAATTATTCGGCTTCAGGATCTTCCAGGACAGAGCCGAATAGTATATATCTTGATTTTCTTCAAATTCATGTCTTTTCTACATGTAATATTATTCGGCTCCCACAATTGCTCCCCAAACATCCAACTAATGCTAGTTAGTCGGCATGTTTGGCCCTGAACTTGGAAAGTCAAAAATACAGCGGTTACCCTCATTCCAACACAAGTGTCAGAACATTTACGCTTTTTAGGAATCATTATAATTTTCTGCCCCTTCGTATGCTTCATTCATTTAAACCGTGTTGTCCATTCGAATGTACATTTTTTGAATACGCAAAGCTTCTTGGTTGCCTGTCAGCATACCTCTTTCATTCCACGACCTCTGCAACTTCTTCACGTTCTTCATTGTCTTCTCTACTTCTTCTCCATTTCGACTCCCATTCCCTTGTTTGTTTTTAGTTTAGCGTACTTCCTATCATTACAACAAAAATAGTCTTTAGAGACGAAAACTAATGACGAAAATAAATTTTGTCACGAAATACGTATCTTTTAATGACGAAAATAATATTTCATCTCCAAATGTACCATTTTTAGAGACAAAAATAAAATTTTGTCACCAATCTAAATCATAAAAAAAAATTAGATGACGAAATTATTTTTCGTCATTATTTATATTTTTTTTGTCATCGAAGATTTTCTCGCTAATTTTTCCGGAGGGTACCAAAATTTTGAGACTTTTGGTGACGAAAAAATTGGTCATCAATTATAAAATTATTAATGACGAATATATTTTTGTCACCAATAATTTTTAATATTTTAATATCATTTAGTGACAAAACTATTTTTGTGACCAATAGTTTTATCTTTGGTGAAGAAATAATTTTGTCACCAATAAATAATTTAGTTGCTAAATATTTTAGGGGGAATAAAAATGTATTAGAGCCTATAGGAGCAGATAGATAGCAATCGGTTCTTCTTCTTCTTCTCAAACACACAATAATTTCTCCATCAAACTTGATTTCACACACACACACACACACACTCCTTATACTCATTCACACACAGTTCCCTCACCGCCGCTGCTACCATTTCATCGATTCACACACATTGTCATTGTGCCGATCGGCTCACCGCCGACAGCTTTTCCTCACCGCCGCCGTTGGTTTCTCCTTCTCTTGTTGCCGATCGTTAGCCCCTCTTTTCCTCACCGCCACTGTTGTGCCGATTGGCTCACCACCACCGCTGTTAGTCTCTCTCTCTCTCTCTCTCTCTCTCTCGATGCTCTTTCTCTGATGAATACAAAACAAAAGAATTGGGTGTGGAAAACATGAAATCACGTGGAAATTTCAATAAACATTCTAAAGATTAGTAAGTGATTCTACATAAAAAAAAGTTGAGACCCAAGTCAATCATGAAATACAACCTGGTTTGCAGAGTAAGGCAAAATTAATTGGTATGTTATCTCTCTTTAGAGTGGCTCCTTATGCTATGCCTTTCTGATTATATCATTTTTCAAGGGCTTGAAGTATAATACTAAATTTATCAACGGTGTGATTGTGTTAGTATGCCAGAAAATGCTTTGCATTAACTCCTTTTATTTATCTATTTATTATGTTGTAATTATATCTTTGGAGCAGCATTCCTGGTTCATCTGGCAACTGATAAATTGACAAGTATGTGCCCGACACATTAACTTTCCCCCACTCCACTGCTTCATAGTATCTTGGTCATCACACATGAACCAATATGAAGTTCAGAGTGAAAGATGATCTATTGGCTACAGATGCTGATGCATTACTTATAGTGTTTTTATCTTTATTGTTCTCATGTGTTGACAATGTTTATTAATGTATTAATTCTAACTTTTACTCTCATACATTAATTATGTCTCTTTTTTCCTCATATATTAATTATTCTTATCATCCCAATGTCACTGTTAGAAAGCCAACCGTAGTTATCAGAAGGATATATCAGCTTTCCGAGAGGCCAGAGACTCCAATGCCAACGCATTAGTTGCTCAAGAGGATGGTCAGGGGAGTGTGATTTCTGGAGAAGGTAAAAAGTTCACAGTTTTAGTCTTAATTCATGTTTTGGCAACTTAGACACCACATAACCACACTTCATGCCAAAGTATTGAGTATTGTTATAGGTACTTATCTTTGAAATTTTCCTTTTTAAAGATGCCTTTTACCAAACGAGGTCCAGCTTGGAATCTGGATGTTGGAGTTATCTTGCGGCAGCTTGTATGATTATGAATCTCTTTTAGGTAGGCATAGTGCTTTTCTTGTTAAACTAATTGAGCTGCACTTTGAGAAGCTCAAGATCAGCTATCCAAAAAGCTTGTTACAGCTTCTTCTCCAGCAAATGACCTTGTGAGCTCAACAAATTTTCTGAGTTAGATTATCACTTATCCAGGCTTGACCAATACTGGGATTAACATGACTAGGCTCATGGACGTTGAGGTAGGCATCATGTAGTTGTAATGGCTTAATCAGTAAGAAATTACCTTTTAAAGAATTCTTTGGAGAGGTAACATTAAGGAACAAAGTTGAATAGAGTTGGATTTTGGAATATGTTATAATTATTAACTTGCATTATCAAGCCTAGGATTGTATGGTTCTTCGTATGGGGGGCGCAGACATGCCTATATACTTTCTGAGCCCCTTACCCACTCCCAGTCATCTCCTGACACGTGGCTCTGCTATCCCATCTGTCAGCATAGACCTTGCTGAACATCACCTAATCTCAACTGCCTGACTTCACAGCTGGAGCTCGGCAGCCGAGCTGCTCTACCACGGCCATGCCATGCTTCATACCCATGCGCCTAACCGGACAAACACATGGAGGACCGGGCTAGGCGGCATCCCGGCAAAGCCTAGCCCGGGTACCTCCTTTGGTCGGCCTTCCTGCCGGTCAATCAACTACCTCGACTGACCACGTCTTTCCGGGCGCCGGTCACTCGGTCTGTCTGGCTTCGACCATCCTCGGACCGAGCATCCTGGTCCGACCGGTCACTTCCTGGCCGAGCAGTTTCTGTTCGATCCGGGGTGGCACACACTCAGTCCAAACTCTGCCCGGTCCAAATCTGTCCGGCACAACTCTGCCCGGCCCAAATCTGTCCGGCACAACTCTGTCCGGCCCAAATCTGTCTGGCACAAAGTCCATATCATTAATCTCCCTCTCACTTATAATTAGATAAATTCGACACTTAGACATACACATACATACTGACACTTGTACTGGAGTCCATGTAACATGGCCCCTGTCTTAGAAGTAACAGTGTGGTTTTTTCTTGCGTCTGATTATACATTTATTGATGCAACCATAAATCTAACCTCTCCATTCAAATAGAAAAAGTACAAAAAATGAAGCTTTTGGCATGTTGTAAGTACAATTAGTAGTGATTCAAAGCTGGTTGTCTTTATTGTTGGGGTTGATTTAAAGCTGATTGAGTTCATTGTTGGGATTTGTAACGGTAGGACACTACTTCACTGAATTCATTTTGGAGGTGTGAAAGGATGCCCTTTATAGAAGTGCCTAAAGCGGCACAACTGGCATGCCTTTTAATCTTAATCCTCCTTCCCCTTCCCCCTTCCACCTTTCTTCCTTCGTTTCTCTTTAGCTATTGAAGTAGAGTGGATTCAAGTTTAGGTCTGCCATATGGATAAAACGTAATGTGACTAACTTTAAGTAGTTTACCTTGGAAATGCATAATTCCGCCAAATCATTCTTATGATTTATTTTTAAGTGTTTAATCTTTTCAATCCATATGCTATCACCTGTCTGAAATAAGATCGTTCTTATACCAACAGAAGTTGGCCACTTCTAAATTGATGGATGGAATATTTATTTTAAGATATATCACATTGTGAGAACCCACTGCGTTTGAGTTGGGGTGAATACAAAACAAAAGAATTGGATGTGGAAAACATGAAATCACGTGGAAATTTCAATAAACATCTAAAGATTAGTAAGTGATTCTGCACAAAAAAAAGTTGAGACCTAAGTCAATTATGAAATGCAACCTGGTTTGGAGAGTAAGGCAGAATAAATTGGTATGTTATCTCTGTTTAGAGTGGCTCCTTATGTTATGCCTTTCTGATTATATAATTTTTCAAGGGCTTGAAGTATAATACTAAATTTATCAACAGTGTGATTGTGTTAGTATGCCAGAAAATGCTTTGCATTAACTCCTTTTATTTATCTATTTATTATGTTGTAATTATATCTTTGAAGCAACATTCCTGGTTTATCTGGCAACTGATAAATTGACAAGTATGTGCCCGACACATTAACTTTCCCCCCACTCCACTGCTTCATAGTGGTGTATCTTGGTCATCACACATGAACCAATATGAAGTTCGGAGTGAAATATGATCTATTGGCTATAGATGCTGATGCATTACTTGTAGTGTTTTTATCTTTATTGTTCTCACATGTTAACCATGTTTATTAATGCATTAATTCTAACTTTTACTCTCATATATTAATTATGTCTCTTTTTTATTCATATATTAATTATTCCTATCATCCCAATGTCTCTGTTAGAAAGCCAACCGTAGTTATCAGAAGGATATATCAGCTTTCCGAGAGGCCAGAGATTCCAATGCCCATGCATTAGTTGCTCAAGAGGATGGTCAGGGGAGTGCGATTTCTGGAGAAGGTAAAAAGTTCACAGTTTTAGTCTTAATTCATGTTTTGGCAACTTAGACACCACATAACCACACTTCATGCCAAAGTATTGAGTATTGTTATAGGTACTTATCTTTGAAATTTTCCTTTTTAAAGATGCCTTTTACCAAACGAGGTCCAGCTTGGAATCTGGATGTTGGAGTTATCTTGCGGCAGCTTGTATGATTATGAATCTCTTTTAGGTAGGCATAGTGCTTTTCTTGTTAAACTAATTGAGCTGCACTTTGAGAAACTCAAGATCAGCTATCTAAAAAGCTTGTTACAGCTTCTTCTCCAGCAAATGACCTTGTGAGCTCAACAAATTTTCTGAGTTAGATTATCACTCATCCAGGCTTGACCAATACTAGGATTAACATGACTAGGCTCATGGACGGTTGAGGTAGGCATCATGTAGTTGTAATGGCTCAATCCGTAAGAAATTACCTTTCAAAGAATTCTTTGGAGAGGTAACATTAAGGGACAAAGTTGAATAGAGTTGGATTTTGGAATATGTTATAATCATTAACTTGCATTATCAAGCCTAGGATTGTACAGTTTTTAGGCAGAGATGGATTTCAGATGAAGCTACTAATTAACAGGCTCAATTGTGGCTAAATTTCTTAAAAAACAAAGCTGGTGGCGCTGGTTGAGTGGGAGTGTTCTTGAGCTCTAAGCAAATGCAGTCAACTTGTGCTTGATTCTTACAACTCTGATCTTGCATCTATTATTTAAAGCCATATAAGGCACTTTAAAATGGTTTTTCATTCCTTGGGTAGGTGGCCCTTCTAGAATTTGGATTTAATGAATTGTGATTTTAAATAGAGAGTTTTGCAAGTACTGTCTTGATATGGTTGGATTATAGATGTGCTTGTTTGGTAAAATCTTATTCATGATTGTAATTTAATGTTTTTCTTTCCCATTCAAATATTGGTATAAATTTGTTTGACTTTGATTTTGCACTTGATCAGGTTTATTGAATGGGCTAAATGAAAGTCCTTAACCAGAATCCTAACAAAGAAAGTATTGAATGTTTAACAAGCAAATTGTGAATTTTATTGGTTTACTATAGTATTGTTTAACACTAAATGATGTTGCTTTGCATAATGGCAGAGTGGGTGTATGACAGCTCTTCAGGCTATTATTGTAATCAAAATAATGGTTGTTTCTATGATCCAAACTCTCTCTTCTACTACACTGATGCTTTAGGTATTGAGTGTACAAATAGATTTACTTGAGTCATTTTTATGTTGCTTCTCCCAAAATATACTTCTTGGTTATGTGTTCTTATAATAGTATTTAAACAGGTAGGTGGGTGACACGAGAAAACGCTTTTGCTGCATCTCGAGCTTCTTCAAATTCAGCTTCAAAAAAGCCCATTTTGAAAAAGCCATTGTCAGCTTTAGAGGGTAGATCAGCTTTGGAAAACAAAGGCGCTACAAAATCTCCGAATGGAGCGCTACATGGGCCAGTTGTTTCTGCACCTCTGAATCCCAAGAGATCCGTTAAAGGTGCTCCTTCATCTCTCACTGTTAACAAGAGAAAAAGGCAAGATGAAAAGCCCAAGGTTTTATCTGAAGAGGAAGCAGCTGCACTTAAAAAAAAGGAGGCTGCAAGGAAGAGAGTTGAGGAGAGAGGGAAGCCGTTGCTTGGCCTTTATAGACAATGATTGAATCACTACTGCAAATACTTGTATTATTGTAAGAGGTATGTTTTAACCTGTTTGTTCTTTATTTAAATTGCAATACATTAATTGGTGCACTACCCTGTCAGACAGCTAAAATGTTGGCTATGTGAGAATTGCTGGAATGTTATTTTCTTTCTGACCCTTGTAAGTTGTAACCATTTTCAAGTTCATGGTTTTGGTATCATGGTCCAACTTGTTAGAATGTACCCTAGAAAATATAAAATGGTCTTGGTGTCTTGCGAATGCGTGGTTGTACTTTTACTGAAATATGGATTACTCATATACTATCATATACAAAAAGTATTGCGGTTTGAAGTATTGAGTTCATATACAAGTTACACAATACGATCCTTATAGTATTGAGTTCTCTTCTTATGCCTTAAATGATAACAATAACATAGATAAAGCAAGAAATGTTTGAATTTGAATTCATTGGGTTTGTAAAAAATGGAGTTTATAATGTGTAGTTTCATCTTTATGTGAATTTTATGTTCTAAAATTATTAGTGTAGTTAAGGTGTTCTCTTCAACATTCAAACGTGTTTCCGTTTTTAGATTCTTTTAAGTTCCCTTGGATTAAGGATTTTGTTGAAAACATGAGATCACTAAACTTCTGAATGTGATGTTTATACATGAATTTAAGGTGTAGAAAAAGTATTACAGTTTGAAAATCAAGTAGAAAAATACACTTTTCCAACACTTAGGCTTGAAAATAGGCCATCAGGGAGTCCAAATCGTAAAACAGCCACAAGAAGGCCTAGGGAACACCTCAAATACTTCGGGAGGGACCAATATAAGTTGTAAAAACATACAGAACTAGCATTGGACTTCCGATTTGCAAACTAAGTAGAAAAATGCACTTTTCCAACACTTAGGCTTGAAAATATGCAATCAGGCTCCAAAATCGTGAAACAGCCACGAGAAGGCTCGGGGAACACCTCCGTAGGGACCGATGTAAGTAGTGAAAATTTATGGAACTAGCACGAGACTCCTTGTTTGAAAATTAAGTGACAAATACACTTTTCCAACACTTAAGCTTGAAAATAGGCAATTGGGGGCCAAAATCATGTAACAGCCACGAGAAGGCCCGGTGAACACCCTAAACACCTTGAGAGGGACCAATATGAGTTGTGAATGTTTACAGAACTAGAACGTGACTCCCGGTTTGAAAACTAAGTCGAAAAATGTATTTTTTCAACACTTAAACTTTAAAATAGGCCATCGGGGTGTCAAAATCGTGTAACAGCAACGAGATGGCCTGGGTAAAACCACAAACACCTCGGGAGGGACCAATATGAGTTGTGAAAACTTACAGAACTAGCACGGAACTCCCGGTTTGAAAACTAAGTCCAAAAATATACTTTTTCACACTTACGCTTGAAAATAGGCCATCGGAGGCCAAAATCGCACAACAGCTATGAGACGGCCCGGGTAACATATCAAAAACGTCGGGAGGGACCAATGTGAGTTGTGGAAACTTACGGAACTAGGACGGGACTCCCAGTTTGAAAACTAAGTCGAAAAATGCACTTTTTCACACTTAAGCTTGAAAAGTAGGCCATCGGAGGCCAAAATCGTGCAACAGCCACGAGACAGCCTGGGGAACACCTCAAACACATCGGGAGGGATCAATGTGAGTTGTGAAAACTTACGGAACTGGCACGGGACTCTCGGTTTGAAAGCTAAGTCCAAAATTGTACTTTTTCACACTTAAGCTTCAAAATAGGCTACCGGAGACCAAAATCATGCAACAGCCACGAGACGGCCCGGGGAACACATCAAACATGTCAGGAGGGACCAATATGAGTTGTGAAACCTTACGGAACTAGCACGGAACTTTCGATTTGAAAACTAAGTCCAAAATGCACTTTTTCACACTTTAACTTGAAAAATAGGCCATCGGAGGCCAAAATCGTGCAACAACCATGAGACGGCCCGGGGAACACGTCAAACACCTCGGGAGGGACCAATGTGAGTTGTGGAAACTTACAGAACTAGCACAGGACTCCCGGTTTAAAAACTAAGTCGAAAAATGCACTTTTCACACTTAAGCTTGAAAATAGGCCATCAGAGGCCAAAATCGAGCAACAGCCACGAGACGGCCCGGGGAACACGTCAAACACCTCGGGAGGGACCAGTGTGAGTTATGGAAACTTATGGAACTAGTATGGTCCTCCTGGTTTGAAAATTAAGTCCAAAATTGCACTTTTTCACACTTAAGCTTCAAAATAGGCCACCTAAGGCCAAAAACGTGCAACAGCCACGAGACGGCCCAGGGAGCACATCAAACACGTCGGGAGGGACCAATGTGAGTTGTGGAAACTTACGGAACTAACACGGGACTCCCGGTTTGATAACTAAGTCCAAAAATGCACTTTTTCACACTTAAGCTTGAAAAGTAGGCCATCGGAGGCCAAAATCGTGCAACAGCCATGAGACGGCCCGGGGAACACATCAAGTACCTCAGGAGGGACCAATGTGAGTTGTAAAAACTTACGAAACTAGCACGGGACTCCCGGTTTGAAAACTAAGTTCAAAATTGCACTTTTTCACACTTAAGCTTCAAAATAGGCCACTGGAGGCCAAAATCGTGCTACAGCCATGAGACTGCCTGGGGAACACCTCAAACACGTTAGGAGGGACCAATGTGAGTTGTGGAAACTTACGGAACTAGCACGGGACTTCTGATTTGAAAACTATGTCCAAAATTGCACTTTTTCACACTTAAGCTTCAAAATAGGCCATCGGAGGCCAAAATCGTGCAACAGCCATGAGACGGCCCGAGGAACACGTCAAACACATCGGGAGGGACCAATGTGAGTTGTGAAAAGTTACGGAACTAACACGGGACTCCCGGTTTTAAAACTAAGTCCAAAAATGCACTTTTTCACACTTAAGCTTGAAAAGTAAGCCATTGGAGGCCAAAATTGTGCAACAGCCACGAGACGGCCCGGGGAACACGTCAAACACCTCGGGAGGGACCAATGTGAGTTGTGGAAACTTACAGAACTAGCACGGGACTCTCGGTTTGAAAACTAAGTCAAAAATTACACTTTTTCTTCAAAATAGGCCACCGGAGGCCAAAATCGTGCAACAGTCACAAGACGGCCCAGGGAACACGTCAAACACGTTGGGAGGGACCAATGTGAATTGTGAAAACTTACGGAACTAGCATGAGACTCCCGGTTTGAAAACTAAGTCAAAAAATACACTTTTTCACACTTCAACTTGAAAAGTAGGCCATCACAGGCCAAAATCATGCAACAGCCACGAGACGGCTCGGGAAACACGTCAAACACCTCGGGAGGGACCAATGCGAGTTGTGGAAACTTACGGAAGTGGAAACTTACAGAACTACGCCATCAGAGGCCAAAATCGTGCAACAACCATGAGACGGCCCAGGGAACACGTCATATACCTCGGGAGGGACCAATGTGAGTTGTACAAACTTACGGAACTAGCACGGGACTCCCGGTTTGAAAACTAAGTCGAAAAATGCACTTTTTCACACTTAAGCTTGAAAATAGGCCATCGGAGGCCAAAATCGTGCAACAGCCATGAGACGGCCTGGGGAATACCTCAAACACCTCAAGAGGGACCAATGTGAGTTGTGGAAACTTACGGAACTAACACGGGACTCCCGGTTTGAAAACTAAGTCCAAAATTGTACTTTTTCACACTTAAGCTTTAAAATAGGCCACCGGAGGCCAAAATCGTGCGACAGCCACGAGACGGCCCGGGAACACATCAAGCACGTCGGGAGGGACCAACGTGAGTTGTGAAAACTTACGGAACTAACACAGGACTCCCGGTTTGAAAACTAAGTCCAAAAATACACTTTTTCATATTTCAGCTTGAAAAGTAGGCCATTGGAGGCCAAAATCGTGCAACAACCACGAAATGGCCCGGGGAACACGTCAAACACCTTAGGAGGGACCAATGTGAGTTATGGAAACTTACGGAACTAGCACCGGACTCCCGATTTGAAAACTAAGTCAAAAAATACACTTTTTCACACTTAAGCTTGAAATAAGCCATCGGAGGCCAAAATCGTGCAACAGCCACGAGACGGCCCAGGGAACACCTCAAACACCTCGGGAATAACCAATGTGAGTTGTGAAAACTTACGGAGCTAGTACGGGACTCCCGGTTTGAAAACTAATTCGAAAAATACATGTTAAATTGTATATTTTATGGATAAAATAATAATTGTCTAACTTTCATTTTTTTTTTTTTGTTGTGTTTTTTTTTTTTTTTAGATTCGAGATTTGATATGGACATGTTTGATAATTTGGAGGGCAGATGGTAGCTCATTTTGTGTTTTTTTTCATATTACCTTACATGTATTTTGGTTGCGTTGTAAATTTTATATTTTTGTTGGTATTACAGGGCATGTTTGGTAATCCGCCCATGATATTTTATTTTTGTTGATATTAGTAGACATGTTTTTTGTTGGATATTAGGAGATGTGTTTGGTAATCCGCATGCGGTTGATATTATATTTTTGTGGATATTAGTAGACGTTTTTTGTGGATGTTAGGAGACATATTTATAATCTGCATGCAGTTCATATTGTATTTTTCTGGATAGTGCTGAAATTCGATTGTGATGTTTATGAAAATGAACAGATTTTTGTATTGATTTGTAATAGATATTTTATTGAACAGGTTATTGAAATGCGTAGAGAATTGTTACTGAAAAGAAAAAAAATTCGGAAGAAAATAGTACTCCCATTTTCAAAATTTTTAATTTTTATTAGTGACGAAATAAAAAATGTCGCTATTAGTTTTCAAAAAACATGACGAATAATTTTGTCACTAATGATATAGTACAAAACAAATAACTTCGTCACATTTGCTGAATATTTCGTCTCAAAATTTAAATATTTGGTGACAAAATGTTTTTTGTCATTGAATAATTTTATTCTTTGCTCATTTTAGTGACAAATTTTTTTGTCACCTTAATCCATATCATTGGTGAGGAAAACTTTCATCACTAAAATATATTCGGTAATGAAATATTTCGTCGCCAAAAACAATTAAAATAAAATATTATTTAGCTTTGGTGACGAAATTGATGTTTTAAAGGACGAAAAATTCAACATTTGGAGACGAAACATTTCGTCGCCAAAAATGAAAATAGGTGACGAAACTGTTTTTCGTCACCAGGTACTTTCAGCGATGACGTATAGGCCACGAATATGGTGACAAATTTTTTTCGTTGC